CGCCCACCATGGCCACACCCACCATGGCCACGCCCACCCAGCAACCAAGCAGAGAACCCATTGCTAAAACTTTTGAAGCCCATCTCTGATCGTAAGTGCTGTTGTAACTTTACAACGGTCGCAGAATGAACCAGTGTAAGTCAAGGACTACCTGTATGTGGTGGGCAATGGTAAGGAGAAGACTTCAGGTATCTTTCCCGGTTTTGCGGGGCAGGGCGGACCCTGTGCCCCTCACATCAGGACGGAATAATCCATGTCACGAACGGTGCTGAAGTCCTCCCCTTGGCTAAATTCCTCACTTTCCAAACGTTGCCTGGTTCGGCGTCCCCTACAGAAGATTCTAGAAAATTCCCTTCGGAACCCCGCCCCTCCCAAAGCGTAGACCAAGGGGTTGAGGCAGCAGTGGGTGAGGGCTAAACACTTGGAGATCACCAGCCCCAAATCCAAGACCTTCTCCCATCCACAGTGCCTCTTCAAATGACCCAGACGCTGAAAGATGTCCACCAGTATCAAGCAATGAAACGGGGCCCAACAGATAATGAAAGTTATCCAGATGACCACCAGGAGATGAAGAGGCAAATGTATATGCAGAAGACCATTCCGGTGTAGCTTGGTGAGAATGCAAACGTAGCAGTAGATCATTGTTAGGACGGGCCCCCAAAAACCCAGAACAAAGAAGGACAGCTGTAGCCCCAGTTTCCAGGAGTTGGCATCCTGGACCTCCAAGTCCAGCTGGCAGACGAGAGTCATGGCTTCCGAGATGTAGGTGACCGTCTGGAAATGGAAATCTACTGCGGAGAACGCGATGCCGATACCCCAGAAAAAGGCCGACGTTAGGTAGACGTGAGGAAGCTTCGAGAAGAAGGTTGGAGCTGCACCCTTGACCACCACGAAGTAACGTTCGATGCTGAGGTAGGTCAGGAGAAGGATGCTGGTGCAGACGTTCATGGTGGAGAGACCGCCGGTCAGCTTGCAGAGGAATTCTCCAAAGGTCCAGCCATGGACGAACTGGGCAGCTTGTAAAGGGAAGGTTAAAACCAGGAGAAGATCGGCCACAGCCAACTGGAAGAGATAGTGGTCAGCAAAGTGCCAGGACCGGTAGCTTCGGCCCAAGATAGCCAGCACAGAGCTGTTGCCCACCAAGCCAAACACAAACACCAAGGAGAAGACCAGGGGGCCGAAATAGTGAGCGAAGGCCCTCACGTCGGTGGGAAGGCACGGCTCTGCGTTGGGGTTGAACGGGGGCACTGTGCCAAGCTGGGAGGGAGGGAAGGAGAAAGAGGAGTGGGCTGGGAGAAATGCTCAGAACATCCCAGATATATACAACAGCCTTACTTACACGCGGGCTGCTCACTAGTGCCTCCTTAGGAACGGTGTGCTGTGGCTGGTGCTGTTTTATTCTGCTGGCTGGATTTTCTTTTTTCTTTCTTTCATTTTCTCTCTCTCTCTCTATTCCTTCCATCCTTCTTTTCTCCCTCCCTCCTTCCGTCCCTCTCTTTCCTTCCTTCCTCCCCTTCCTTCCTTCGTTCCTCTTCTTTTTCTTTCTTTCCTTCTTTCTTTTCTTTCTTTCTTACTCTTTCTCTCCTTTTTCTTTATTTTCCTTCCTCCCTTCTTTTTTCTTGCTTTCTTGCTTTCTCCTTTTTCTTTCTTTTTCTTCCTTCCTTCCTTTTTCTTTCTTCCTTTCCTCCTCCTCCTCCTCCTCCTCCTCCTCCTCCTCCTCCTCCTCCTCCTCCTTTCTCTCCCTGGAAATGCAACCTTTCTGAGCCCTTCCTTCCCAGTCTCAAGCGATGTACTGTGTAAACCCCATGGAATCCAAAGCACACACACACACACACACACACTTTAAGGATTGTGCCCTGCTTGTTATCTGCAGGAAGCAAAATGGGTGAGCATTGCTTGTGCAGTCAAACAGGTAGGTCATTTGCACACACAAAGAGGATTGGGCCAAGATATTTTGCTGACCAAAGCAGTGGATAAGACGGCTTCCTCACTGCTTTGTACCCACAGCACTCTTGGTCCGGCAGGTTGGGATACACCTGTCTTGCACTTGAAGCAACATAGTAGTTGGTTCAAGAGTGCAGGAGAACCTGTTGGAGATGGTGGATCGTACAACCAACCCTCCAGGCCCTGCAAAACTTCCCACACCCAAAGGTCCAATGGGCCAATCCAGATGGGTTGATCTTGCCAGTCTACTTTTCAAAAGGTGGAAGACAGTCTCCACTATTCCACTTGGCTACTCAACGACTAGGCTAGCTGGGGAATTCTGGGAGTTGAAGTCCACCCAGCTTAAAGTGACCAAGGTTGAGAAACGCTAGACCAGAGGCAGATAGAAAACTAACCTACCTCATAGTAGTATTCCTCATCCTCATAATTGGTGGATTGATTTAATTCCATGGTTGCATCCAAATGTTATCCTTGATTATCCTTCTTTGAGGCTGTTCCCCAGGGTGGACTCAAGAATGTGAGGAAGTCACCAGATCTTCTGGTGGAGAAAGGAAACTCTCACGTTATGAAAGGTTTCCTGATGAGGAAGTTACAGAAGGCTGGTTGCTTGTTTTCTTCTCAGCCGCTTTGGTCAAGGAGCAGTTGGTGAACTGTGGCCCCCAAACCCATTTCAGAAATTCTCAATGTTCCCCAAGATCGGAAGTGGGCAATTATGGCCCCTTTACCAGCTGTGGACTTCAACTCTCATAATTCACAGCCCCTTTATGTCCTGTGAACTTCAATTCCCAGAATTCGCAGCTCTTTTATGATCTGTGGACTTCAACTCCCAGAATTCTTGGCCCGCTGATGACCTGTGAATTTCAACTCCCAGAGTTCACAGCCGCTTTACAACTTATGGACTTCAACTCCCAAAATTCTTGGCCCACTGATGATCTGTGAACTTCAACTCCCAGAATTCACAGCTCCTTTATGACATATGGACTTCAACTCCCAGAATTCCTGAGCCGGAAATCCACAAATCACAAAAGGAGGCACAGTTGCCCAGCCCTGATCATGCTGTGATATCTATTCCATGGCAAATATTGGCTGCACATCAGTGGTGCAATTTGGGGGGTTTTCCCCTCTCCTTGTGCTAAAAGGGCTGTTTGCAGAAGGGTCAAAAAAAAGCAAAAATGGCTGCGGTGATAGTGTGATCCAACCTCCCACCCAACAAACACAATGTTTTAGGTGCATTGTGTTCGACTTTTGGAGATGCCCTGAATGGCAACAATATGCAAGTGGTTTGTTGTTGTTTTCTGAGATAGTCTTTTCTACTTTTTAGCTAGATTACTTTGCTTAATTTCTCTGAGATTCATCAAGGACTGCTAAGATGTTGCCTTTTGCTGCAATTAAGGTAAAATCCTCTTGGGAGGAGGAGGAGGAGGAGGAAGGCAAAAGGGAAGGAGAAGGGAAGGAGAGAAGGACAAAGTGGAGAAGGAGGAGGGAGTAGGAGAAAGAGAAGGAGAAAAGGGAAGGGGTAGAAAGAGGAGGAGGAGGAGGAGGAGGAGGAGGAGGAGGAGGAGGAGGAGGAGGAGGAGACTAGCAAAAGTAATATAATAAAATAAAGAATGCAAAGATTCCAGATACTGAAAAACAATGAAAACACCAGACCAGAACATTTAGTTAAAAACACTCTCACTGCTGCATTTATATATTTTTAATATTAGAATATTGAATACATTCAAAAAAGCCAAGCTCCTTTTTCTCTCCAATGGTGGACCTCCAGAAGAACCAACCGAAAACGAAGAGATGACTTTTTCCTCTCGTTTGTCCTTATCTATCCGACTCAAAAGACTTTCTCAGCACGATTCTCGTTTGATCAGATTTACACAGACCACATAATCTTCGGCTACACACATTTCAGAAGTGCAGAGTCGAGGTTTACGATCAGGCAACAAGGACACAAGCCAATGCAAAATAACAGCAGATACAATGAAGACTTCAAGAACTCAAGAGGTTTTTGGCACGAGCCCTGAAATCTTTTGGTTTTCGACCTTCAAAGTTTTCGGCCCCGATCTTCCACATCAGAAAGCTCTTCTAGAGCAGAGGAAGAAACTGAAAACATGAACAAGTAACCTCAAAACCATATTTGGCAACCCGTTTCTTGACTCTGAGGTGGAAGCGATTTGGTTCAAAAATGATTACCAGGTCTCACCTACCCTGTTTCCCCAAAAATACGGCCTACCCTGAAAGTAAGTCCTAGCTTGATTTTTACACATGCTCCCAATATAAGCCCTACCCTCAAAATAAGCCCTAATTAAAATTCCATCCACTCCAGAGTGCACAGGTAAAAATTAAGCTAGGGTGGAGATGGAGGGGTAGAGCTGCCCTACTACTTATCTTTGGACAGTTGTAGCCAGGCCTCACACATCCTATCACCTGCCTTGCCAGCCCATTTCTTCTGCAGCCGGCAAGGCTGGCAAAGCTTTCCTGAAGGCCTCTGCAGCTGATAAGAAGGCTCCGGATCGATCCACAGTTCTGTTGTTGGCTGCAGAGGCCTTCAGGAAAGCTTTGCCAGCCGCAGAAGAAGCAGCTCCTGAAGGCCTCTGACAGCAAAAAGCAGACCAGGGACGATGCGCACAAGTGAGATTAGTCAGTGGATGACATCGCCCAAAAATAGGACCTGGTGGTTTTTTGTTTTTTTTTGTGGCAAAAAAATATAAGACAGGGTCTTATTTTGGGGAAAACATGATATCTGAAGAACATTTTGTTCAGAACTGTGAAAGTTTGAATGAAACCTGATCCATAGAGGGAATTTTGACGCTCGATCTTAATGCTATATACACAGATAGTCCTCAACTTAACAGAATAACAGAGAGTTGGAAGGGACCTTGGAGGTCTTCTAGTCCAACCCTCTGCTCAAGAAGGAAACATGATACAATTTCAAACAAATGGCTGTCCAGCCTCTTCTTTAAAAGCTCCAGCGTATGGCCACTGTTGAGATCAGAATTTCCATTGTGCAAGGTGATACTTATGTGAATCGTGCCTGATTTTTCCATCTTTTTTGCTCTGGTTGTTAAGCGAATCATTAAGTGGATCGTGTTGTTGTTAAGCAAATCCAGCTTCCCCCACATTGGATTTGCATGTTGGAAACCAACTGGGAAGGTCACAAACGGTGATCATATGACATGCCAGTTGCCAAGAGCCCGAATTTTAATCACACGACTGTCGGGATGGTGCAACAGTCTTTAACTACGAGGACCAGTCATAAGTCCCCTTTTTTTTTTCCAGCGCTGTTGTAACTTCGAATGGGTCCCCCCCAAAAAATACTTGTTAAGTCGAGGACTAGCGTGTACCAATGGAGTGCCAGTTTCCCTCTGCTGGCAGAGGAGCCAAGAGGAGAATTCTGGGATAGCAATGGCGCTCTTATGGCCACAGAATATTCTAGAAGATGGTGTTGGAGCAGTCTGTGCTTTCGGACCAACTGGAATCTCTCGATTGACCAGACGCCCTGAAATGCATGTTCCAGAAGTTCTGATTGATGCAACCAAATCGCCTCAGCACCATCAGGAGCTTGTTCCTAAACTTGAGCCCGACGAAGGCATAGAGCAACGGGTTGAGGCAACAATGAAAGAAACCCAAACTGGTGGTGACGACGTCGGCGATGTCCAGATTATCCTCCCACTGGCAATCCTTCTCCAGGAGCTGCAGCTGGAGCAATGTGCTGATGAACTGCACCAGGTGGTAGGGCGACCAGCACAGGAAGAAGGCTACCACCACGGCCAAGATCACCTTGAGGGCCCTGTGTCTTCGGAAGCCCTTGGAGTGCAGGAGGGTGAGGATGATGTGGAAGTAGCAGTAGATCATGGCCACCAGAGGGAGCAAGAAAGCCACCACTTGGTTGATGATGATGAGGGCGATTTTCCACATCTTGGTACTGTGATAAGGGAAGGCGAGACCACAGGAAGTGCCATTGAGGCGACTGTCAAACTCAGCCGTCAGGTACACGAAGTCGGGCACTGTCATCAGGAAACAGACAAACCAAACCAACAAGGTGGTGTAGATGATGAAACGCTTCTTCCTGTTGTACATCCGGATGACGTAGACGATGGAGAGGTACCGCTCGAAACTGATGCATATGAGGAAGAGGGCGCTGGCGTAGAAGTTGATCTTGAGCATGCTGCCGACGACCTTGCAGAGAAAGTCCTTGAAGACCCAACCATGAATGGCCTGGATAGCCCAGAAGGGGAGCGTGACTACCAGGAGAATGTCCGCGATGGCCAGGTTGAAGACGAAGACGTCGGTCCCGAGTAAGGGGGCTCGGTCCAGGAGCAAGACGGCGATGACCATCAGGTTGCCTCCGAGACCCATGAGAAAAATTAGGGAGTAGAACGGAGGCAGAAACTGCTTGGAAAACTCCTGGTAGGGGATCAGATCGCATGGCTGGGACAAGCAACAGTCGAAGGGATAGCTCTCATTGTAGTAGTCCTCTCCACTGGAGAACATGTTGTGATCTTCAGCCTGAAAGAAGGACGAAACATGGCAGAGGATCATTTTATTTCATTGTTTAATGTTACGGTATATTTTAACTACTTTTGGTTGCTATCTGGGGCTCAGAACACCTGTGACTGGGATACATGCAGTCTGTGACTTACAGCGACGATGGAGCCTAAAATTTGGAAGGATTCAAAAGATGATTACAGGGGGCGTGGTGGCTCAGCGGCTAAGACGCTGAGCTTGTCGATCAGAAAGGTCAGCAGCTCGGCGGTTCGAATCCCTAGCGCCGTGTAATGGAGTGAGCTCCCATTACTTGTCCCAGCTTCTGCCCACCTAGCAGTTCGAAAGCATGTAAAAAATGCAAGTAGGAAAATAGGGACCACCTTTGGTGGGAAGGTAACAGCGTTCCATGCGCCTTCGGAGGTGTTTAGTCATGCCAGTCACATGACCACAGAGACGTCTTCGGACAGTGCTGGCTCTTCGGCTTTATAACGGAGATGAGTACCACCCCCTAGAGCCAGAAACGACTAGCACATATGTGCAAAGGGAACCTTTACCTTTAAAAGGTGACAGGGTTGAATTTCAACTAGAGTAGTGAATCTCAAACTTGGCCTGTTTAAAATGTGAAGACTTCAAGTCCCAGAATTCCCCCAGCCAGCATCGGTGGACTTCAGCTCCTTTCATATTATAGAGTTATACTATTAGTATAAATATGTCCATTAATGGTTTGATGTAATTTGAACCTTTTTCAAACATAGCCCCTTTAAGATATGTGCTCAACTCCTACAATTCCTCAGTTAGCAAACATGGACTTCAACTCCCACAATTCCCTAGCAAGCATTTGTGGAGTTTAACTCCATTAGTATAATGGATTTATGATCTTAGTATAACTACATCCATTAATATAATAGATTAGTATAAATATTCTTAATTTGTTAGCATAAGAATCTTAATCTACCCCTGTGTTTCTCAAATTTGGGCCCTTAAGATGTGTGGACTCCCAGAATTCCCCAGCCAAAAGACTAAGATGTGTGGACTTCAATTCCCAGAATTCCCCAGCCAGCATGGCTGGCTGGGGAATTCTGGGACTTGTAGTCCAAACATCTTAAATGTTGCCAAGTTTGAGAAACGCCATCACTGAAGACTACCACCTCATGGTGCAAACCAGGATTGTGTGCTTTGAACACCAGTTTGGGGAGAAAGTGCCCACATCTCTTCCCCTTTGCTGCCCTCTCCACACAACCAAACCGCAGACAAAAACTTTGTTAGGGTGTCCATGCGACAAATACTTCGTTGATGTGCAAATTTATTCCCCCAATATGGCATGCTGTCAAGAGAAATTTCCAACTGAGGTTTGGAGAGCATCGGTGATGAAACTCTCAAATCTTTGAAGAAAGCCACAATGCTTTTGCTAGAAAAAAAGCCGCAAAAAGCAACTCGAAAGGCACCTGCCAGCCATGCATGGAGAGAGAAACACAATTCCCCTGAGCCTCGTCTCAATTGCGCAGATAGTTTCTATTCCTGAAAGGAGCATTTGACTTTTAATTTCTCAATTTCTTAGCAGAAGATACTTGGGGTTTTTTTTTTTTTTTTTGCTGAAGGACAGGAGCTTTAGCATCAGGGTACATCGTGACGTGAGGTAATTTGATTCCCCTCACATTTAGAAAAGGAGAAATTTAAGGTTTGTTGGCCTTTCCAATTTTTGCAAGGAAATTGCAGGGTGACACGCAAACTGTATGCATCTTCAAGTAACCGTGTAGACAAAAATCTTTGCTTTGTGAAACAGATTTTAGGTTGGAAGCAGTACTCCTCAACCTGAGCAACTTTAAGATGTGTGGACTTTCTTTCTTTCTTTCTTTCTTTCTTTCTTTCTTTCTTTCTTTCTTTCTTTCTTTCTTTCTTTCTTTCTTTCTTTGGTTTGTCAATTACGTACAAGATAATAGGTATAAGTAAAAACATAGTTACAACTACATGGATACATGTAAGAAAAATTAAAAAAATAAAAGAAACAATAGGACAAGGATGGTAGGCACGTTGGTACGCTTATGCACACCCAGAATTCTCCAGCCAACGTGAACGGGCTGGTGTGAAGACTCTTCTCTGAGACCACACTTCACTTCTAGGAATTATATGGATACTAGCTGGATACCCGTGCTTTGCGACAAAACTTTGTGATCGGGCTACACAGGGGAAATTTGGTTCACCATCCGGTGGCTCAGTGGTGGTCAGTGATTGAAACACATAAGGGAATATCGCTCTTGCTGCCTTGAGCCTGGAAGCAGTTCCATCGGCGGAAGGCATAGACATTTTGGTGAGGTACCAACATTTACTACTGTTAGGAGCCCCAGGCCGCTCCTGAGTGAAGGAGTGGAATGTCTGCTGGTTTGAACTGAGGTAACGGAATGTGAGGCAACTGGCAGTTGGAAGAGATTTCTTTTCAGAACAAAACAATTTTTACGAATGAAACAACTAATTTGATAAAACTAACCCCAACTTCATATATTTCTAGACTAAGAATGGGTGGGTTTCCTAACACAGAATAATCTCTCTTCATCACATAATCGATCTGTCAATATATGCTGCTATTCAGAAGGTAAATAGATTCACGAGTTTCTGGCTGGGAAAATGTAGAAGTTTGATTTCCAAAATTTCCAACAGCCAGATTTATTTTAGAGATTGAATTAATTAGGTCTTCTCCAGGAATGCTCACTCATGGGAAAATTACTGGCTCTACATGCATAGCATCTGAGGTGCAAACCCCATTGGGATTAGGAATAAATTAATTTAGTTTTGAGCCTCTAACTGGCAGTTGGAACAGAGTTCTTTTCAGGGGGGGAGGGGAAGTAGAACTCCTTAGCATCAGAGCGTGTTAATAATAATAATATAGGAAATACTAATGCTCTGATGGTCATTTCAGAAAATCCTTTCTTAGCAAGCACCTAGAAGCCAAGAGGAACATATGTGCCTAATTTCAAGTTTGTAGGCTTTACGGTTCTGGAGATATTGTGATGATGCATGAGTGGTACTTGGCTTTTATAAATATAGATAGGAGTTTTTTGGATAGCCTCTTATCCAAGTAAAGCCACACAGCTGCTTAGCTTTCTCTACGCGAATGTCCAAGGTTTTGCTGGATGTTCTCCAGTGCTCTGGTGATGAAAGAGCTGGCGTATTGCATCTGGTTTGTGTGGGATCATGCAAATATCTCACATGAAGCTGTCTCTCACATGTCTGAAGTTCTTTTTTGCATGTGTCTATATATAGACAAGGAGGGGACTTTTGGTCATATGGTGATGGCTGCCATCTTGACTTTTCGATTCAATACAGCTGGAAGAATTAAAATGAAATATTTTCTGGAATTCACATGTATCCATGGCTCCTCAGTGGCCTGCTACACCCCTGTTCTTATTCTGCCCCTGTGTGGACATCTCTGGGAGGAAGAGGAGGAGGAAAAGGAGAAGGAGGAGAAAAGAGAAGAGAAAGGAGGGAGGACAGTAGAGGAGGAGGAGGAGGAGGAAAGGGAAGGAGAAGGGGAAGGAGGGAGGTAGAGGAAAAAAAAGGAGGAGGAGGAGGAGGAGAAAAAAGGAGAAGAGGAAGGAGGGAGGGCAGTAGAGGAGGAGGAGGAAGAGGAGGAGGAGACGACAGTGGTCACCATTTCGAAGTTCATTTCTAAACATCACTACTACTTCTGGAAAAGGTTGACAGGTTTGTTTTTTAGTTTTTTAAGTTATCACTTTACACCAAACCTGTGAAACAGGGGTTTTTTTGTGTTATGAAGACTGGAGATGAGACTGGAGATTGGAAGACGCTTTTCTGAGAAGTTGAAGATGGTGCTAGAGATTTCTTGCGCTATCAGGTCGTTGTCTAGCTACGAGGGAAAATTCCTGGATTCCCAGACATTTACATGTTATGCACAGAATTTCTGCCTTTCTCGTTCGGCTACGATGCTCTTCTCTTACATTCCACACTGGTGCTCATTTTATTTGGACAATTTGAAATGCATTTTTGAGCGTCATCCATGTCTGGAAATCATAAATGCATCTGTTGGCAAAACCCTCGCAATAACTAAAACTCCAGAAGAGTACCTATGTGAATCCACACTCCCTTTTAAGGAGATAAAGATATTTTGTTTATCTTGCTCTTTTTATTTAATCTTCCTTTTTTAAAAAAAGATATCTTCCCCTCCCCCGTCCCTCCACTTTTCTTCCAATGGAATTCCCTTTTGAAATAGTCTTTTAATATTATTTTTATTACAGTGAGGTATCAGGAGAGCCATGGGTTAAGGCAGTTTGAATGCCATTGGATTTTACAAACAGAACAAAACAATTTTTACGAACGAAACAACTAATTTGATAAAACTAACCCCAACTTCATATATTTCTAGACTAAGAATGGGTGGGTTTCCTAACACAGAATAATCTCTCTTCATCACATAATCGATCTGTCAATATATGCTGCTATTCAGAAGGTAAATAGATTCACGAGTTTCTGGCTGGGAAAATGAAGAGGTTTGATTTCCAAAATCCAATCCAACAGCCAGATTTATTTTAGAGATTGAATTAATTAGGTCTTCTCCAGGAATGCTCACTCATGGGAAAATTACTGGCTCTACATGCATAGCATCTGAGGTGCAAAACCCCATTGGGATTAGGGATAAATTAATTTAGTTTTGAGTCTCTAACTCTATTTTCAAGGCAAGATTGAACTGAAATCTAGCATTCTGTAGGCATAATTCTCTATATTTTTAATTGCACACCATAGTTCTCTATATTTTTAATTTCACACAGTTGCTCTATGCGTGGGGTGCCAGGTTTTTAAGTCTGATAATAAAATATTTTGTATTAAAATTTACCAGAATTTTAAACATGGAAGACAGCTACCTGCAAAATACCTCTGTTTATTTGAAAATATACGAACATGCATTCTGTTAGGGAAGAGTGTGGCCACTCGGTAAAACTGCCTTCCTTTCCAAGAACAGTGCCTTTAGAGAAATATGCACCAAAATTGCTTGCAAATTTTAGTGTACTGTTTTTTTGTTTTCAAATAGCTTTAACTACAATTAATCTAGAACTTGCTGGTATGAATCAGAAAATGCTGACAGCTCCAATCCTTCCCACATCACACTCTCTACTTCCCCCTACAGGTAAAATAAAGGATGCAAAATATATGCAAGAAGTCCTTTACTTACATTTAGTTCATTTAGTGACTGTTTGAAATGATAAAGGCACTGAAAAAAGCGACTTATGACCATTTTTCACACTTACGACAATTGCAGCGCATGATCCAAATTCAGGCAGTTGCCAATTGACTTGTATTTATGACGGTTGCAGTGTCTCAGGGTTATTGTGATCAACCTTCGGACAAGCAAAGTCAATGGGGAAGCCAGATTCACTTTTACAACTATGTTGTAACAATTGCTGTGATTCACTTAACAACAGTGGCAAGAAAGTTTATAAACTGAGACAAAATTTCACTTAACATCTATCTCGCTTAGCGACATAAACCTTGGGCTCAATTGTGATCGTAAGTCAAGGACTACCTGTATGTATTTTAAACTAAGGACATTTTGGACACAGCTGTGTTCATCCACAGCATCCAAAAATCAAAAGCAGTCAGGTAGAAATCTTAACTGTTCGGTTAAAAAAAAAAGGATAAAAGCATCAACTTTTACAAACTGCAGCTCAATGCATAGCGTGGTTAGAAACAACAACAAAAAATATGTTTATTTATATTACTTTAGTGTGGTTAGAAACAACAAAATGTTTATTACACTGTTACGCTGCCAAAAAACCACCAAAATTTAACCAAAGTCAGATAGTATCTTTCTTGCTGACTAGAGAGTAGAGTAGAAATAAAACAATAATAGAATGGAATGGAATGGAATGGAATGGAATGGAATGGAATGGAATAGAATAGAATAGAATAGAATAAGAATGAAACAATGATAGAGTAGAGTAGAATAGAGTAGAGTAGAGTAGAGTAGAGTAGGGTAGGGTAGAGTAGAGTAGAGTAGAATAGAATCTACTATAGAATGGAGTGGAGTGGAGTGGAGTGGAGAGGAAAGGAGCGGAGCGGAGCAGAGCAGAGCAGAGCAGAACAGAGCAGAACAGAACAGAACAGAACAGAACAGAACAGAACAGAATAGAATAGAATAGAATAGAATAGAATAGAA